GTGATCCCCATGTGTGGTTCCTCCTCTTATGGCCAAACTCTATAGGGAACACATGCCATTTGTAATCCAAAATCCCCGAATTTTCCGCAGTTGCTATTTACCACTTTCAAAAACAATGGTCAACCTGTCAGTGACATACGGTGTCTCTTGCAGAAGACATCATCCTGTGTTTCCAAACTTGTCACTGTGAATTCATGTAAACACATATAGCTCTCCATCAGTAGACTGTATGAACCAGTCGCAAACAGAAACGAACCACAGAAAACTTGACATCTCCGGATCTTGAACATGGACCGTTATAGCTGCAGGAAGGGATTTTTTCTTTTCACTGCGAGTATTCTGCTTCCCATAGTGTTCAAGAGAACTTCAAAATTTTGAGAGCTCAACTAATACATTGGCGCTTCATCAAATTATTTCCGAAACATAAAAACATGATGTGATTGATAATGCTGTACCCACCATTAATCGAATTTCTGATAATGAATGGCATCTAATATTACAAAAGTTCGGGCACCTTGTGAGAACTCACGCGCAAGAAATAACGTTTCCCATACAGTGCAAAGCTACAATCTACGAACCTCGAACAATGCAAAAGCATTAAAATCTTTTTTATTCCTACTCTTTCCTTACACTTCTTGATTTATCGTAGTTGTACACACGATCTGCGCATTATACTTGTTATAGGAAAAGTACTGTTTTACTAGCATTCGGTACTTACATACATGAGTTATAAAACTGTGCAATGACTTTTTTACATGTGAATAATTGAAATGATTTCTGCACTACTTAGGAAATTTCTTGAAGTTTGCGATTATGGCTTCAAAAAGTCGGGAAACATCCAAAATTTTTTTTGGTGGTGTGTGGCGAATGCCACTCCTCTTCATTCGAAAAAAATTCCGTTGCGCCCTTCTTCGAACTAAATTTGTCGGGACGCCAAGAGAAATACACTTCATCAGTTGCGTATCAGCTTTCAAATCCATTGCGCCCCCTATGGTAGGATCTTGCAGTTTCAAAAATTTTCTCCGCTGCCATAGCTGTTGTCTGAATGACACAGGAAGTTTGGCAAATTATGACCCTCATTCGGTGTATGGGACACCATTTTGCCGGAGCTTTGTGAAAAAAAAACTTCGTGGCTTTGTTTACAAAATTTTTGTTTGCAATTTATCCGCCTAAGCATAACTCTAGCGTTTCATAGCGTCACTGCTTATCCCTCACTAAGTCAGAATCTCAAGTTGACACGAGACCTTCCTTCGAATTACTTTTGAATGGTGCGGGTGCTGAGTGCGGCTTTCATTTATAATTGGAACTTCCTGTTGTTGAATATTCAACGCATTTGCGCGCTTTCCAAGCTTTTGTTTGCCCGAGCAGAGATCGCTAGGCGGCAATGATGTCCCGTGTCCATGTTGCCCAATTATTTATTGGACGCATCCATGTATAGCTAGTTCCTCATTTACGATTTACGACTGAGCGGAGAGAATGTGAAAGTTTGAAGCGATTTCTGTGTTGCAAAAAATACAAGATTACTGTAAAATACGCAGAGTATGGCGCAGTATGTGCAATTGCAGCTAACGCATGATTGCAAGAATTATCAAGATTACAGAGGCCACGTATATGCAGGACTGTATTTTTCGGAAGTAATCTATTTACATCGCTTTCTCACGAGGGAACGAACCCAACTTAAGGTGGCAAACTGGAATGAACAGCATATCATTAAATGCGTCTTGATGAGCTAATTCCAAACCTGCCTTTTATATCTGCGACACCGTTCTCTGGAAGATTTTATGAGTGGCTAAATATGTGAAGACAATGGGGTTTTAATGCATAAGGTGCTTTGAAACCCAACTTGGGAGTGCATGACTAGCATGATATTTGAGTGCACTAATTTTAAAGAGTGCTTACATTCATACGAAACACTAAGAAGTATTTTCGAACAACTAAAAAACAAATTGAGTTGCTTGGTAGAAGCTATAAGCGATGAAAACCGCGCCATACCTCAAGAATTAGTTGATCAAAAACAATTCTTTATGTTTCCGTTAAATGTACAGTCGAGTAGATTTGGCGGTGAATATAGTGTGCTTGCACAGAAGGTGAAATGCGGTGAAATTTGCGCGTGAACAAGTAGCTACGTCAGTACCGCGGGTATTTTGCGCGCGCAATTGGCCGGCGTCATAATCGAAATCATTTCTTCACGCGCCAATTTTACCGCATTTCACCTTCTGTGCAAGCACACTATATTTACCGCTAAATCTACTCGACTGTAAACATCCTCTGAAATCAGTACACTCAATATCATGTTAAGCATGCACTTCCAAGTTGGATTTCAAAGCACTTTATGCATTAAAACCCCATTGTCTTCACATATTTGACCACTCTAACTTTTTCCAGAGAACGGTGTCGCAGATATAAAAGGCAGATTTGGAATCAGCTCATCAAGACGCATCTAATGGTATGCGGTTCATACCATTTCGCCACCTTAAGTTGGGATCGTTCCCTTGTCAGATGCCTAGAGCAGAACCAGAATAGAAGAACTTTCTCTAGAAAGTCATAAATCATGCATTTATGTGTGTTTGTGTAATTACACCTGTGACAGGGAAGATACGGTCGTTTTCAAAACGTATTGGTTTTTCTACCGTATGCCTTTCAGCCTCAACATGACGTGGATTGGTGTGGATTGGTGGGGCGCCGCATCGCTTCGGGCTTGCGCCGCGTTGCTTTTCTCGGCGGCGCCACACCAATCCACACCAATCCACACCAATCTACGTCATGTTGAGGCTGGAAGGCATACGGTAGCAAAAACCAATACGTATTGAAAACGACTGTATTTTGCAATTGACCGTGCGGCTTACTTTAGCATTAAAAGACGAATTCCTCCTTTTTTTGAGCTCCAAGTCTTTCTGCAGTTTTCATGCGCTTCAAAGCTTGCTTTGAACCTTTTCAAAAAGAGGGCAACATCATCAAATTATTGTTTTTTAGTTCGACTCGTGATTATTTAGACATCTATGAACAAAATTCATCTGTTCAGTCAATCTTGTTTTAGCCAGTCAGTTTGTCAGTCACCCTTATCTTTTATTTTGGACTTGCAGGAGTCTTGACTTTTGTGTAATAGTCAAACTTTTCCGAACATCTTCAATTGTGATGTCGCTCAACTGCAAACAAATCAATGAGGAAGTTTTGCAAGTGTTTTTCGTTAAAGGCTAAATTGAAATTTGTTTTCGAAGACACCTTCAAGGGTACTACTTGCAAGAAAAGAGTAATTCGTATGCTGAGCGCTGTGTAAATCTGCCTAAAATAGCACAAAGTCAGCTTTTTCTTCATTTGCGGACACACATTAATCATAATCTTTTATATCATCCTCTGTTTTTTGATTACCATAATCTATCGTAGACCACCCCGAACAGAGTACGTAGTAATTTTGTAAATCTCGACACTAAAACACAATGAACATGGACTCCTGTCATCGTTTCGACCATTTTTTATTATTATATGGAACAAAACGATCAGTCGTAAAGCGCTGCTGTAAATTTGGTGGAAGGACTGTTTCGTAAGAATGGGAACAAATGGCAGTGTAACTTCTGATCTTTATTGCTTCTGTTTCCATATATGCAAGTCGTTGCTGTATATTTTTGCCTCATTTGACATTCGTGCAGTAAATTCACATGCTTGTACAAAACTGGCTTCAACTAGCTAGGCTACATCTGATCGTCACAATCTTAATAAAGCATTTTCATTCTTCTTCTCTGTTTGCTAATTTTGGTGTCTATTCGGAAGATGCCAACCGCAACCAAGCTTAAGGTTTCATACCTACTAGGTTTCGTTGAAAACAGCAGATTCACATTCAAAACTTAATACTCGCAGCTACAGAAATTTGCTTTTTTCTTTTGGATCAATATTCGATTATTCTGCAATGACGAGAAACGCAAATGAGTAATTTGGTGATTTGATAATCTCTTCCCTTTCGTCACGGAGCTGCTCAATCCAACAAAAATATTTCTAGAAGCTCCTTTCTAAATGTATCTACTGTACTTTACCATGACTTTGCTTAAAATCCGTCTTCAAAAATCGGTACCTTCGTAATTGAAGCATGCACTACAACTGGTACTTTAAATGCATGCGCTACATAATTACGTAGGCGCAAGAATTACATGATTGCTAGTTTACATGATCGCTAGCTAACATTTTCCGTCTATATTTTTCTTCTTCAGCTTCTAAGCAAAAGGAACACTTTGCCAGTGTTTAGTAGCTGCGTAAAGAGCCGGGCATACTTCACGCGATTTCAGTCGCGACGCGATTTGGCAATATTCCAACTGTCCATACCTCACTGCAAACACATTCTAAATGTACAGAAGATAGGGCATCTTATCAATTCACGTTGGTTATACACACTATGCATGTGCAGTTTGCCAGTGTTGGATCTGAAGACTTCTGGCGAATTGCCAAATCGCGTCGCGACTGAAATCGCATGAAGTATGCCCGGTCCTTAAATAAATGCGAGATTTTCGAAATTTCGCGCGAGGGACTGATTTTTGGCACAAGCAATGTTTCATTCATGCTTCAACCTTCATTAATTCCGAAATTTATGTGGATATCTGAGAATCATTTTCTAATAGAGTCGACTTATTTGTTCTATGAAGTACTAACCCGAGCTCACTGAAGAATTTAAAAGAATAGGAATCATTTAAACGCGCACCAATATCAGGACAATTAGTCGCAAATACGAATATGGGCATAATATTACTAACAGTTTTCCACTTTATGAAATGCAGGAAAAACTACTGTATAAAATTCACTCGTGAATAATGGTGACATCGCTACTCGTAGGAGAAACACCCAACTGGATGAAATTTTTGCTCTTTTTTCGTCGAAGTATTGTGTTTTTCAAATAAGCTGTGAACACCCAGCGAATAATGAGCCAATGCCAATCATATTGCCCAAAACGTGTCATACAAAGCAGTATTGAAAAAACCAGTCTAAATTTTTTTCAGGGATCAAGAAATAGATTAGGCTTAGAACTTTCAAAACTGGAGCTGGATCAAACGCTCTTGAAAAACCAAGTTTTGCCAATTGTCCGCAAGGTTTGAAAAAACATTTTATTCTCAATGCCTGAGGCGCTCGAAAATTGTTCTAATTGCTAAACATAGAGATAAGGGTGTGTTTACTAGCAACTGCCAGACGTTCGCCTTGCCTCTCACACCATTTAATCAAACATCCAATACTTATGAAACTTCTCCCGCCGGAAGTTTGCTCAGCCCCTTCGCGTCTGGAACGAAATTATTCTTGAGAATTCAATCACACGCCGTCGATGGCCTTCTTCGAGATCGATGTTATCATCGGCAGACTCGCTACCCTGCACGGACGAGTTTCATCGTTTTTGGCAGGCTATAGTCATCGGTTCAAGCAGTTAACTGCTAATTGACACTTGTAGTTCGCGTAAACAGATGTTGGTTCGGCGAGACTCTAATCAAAAAACCGCTGGTGTATAGCTTTGAGAAAATCTGTTCGCTTCCATTCCCTTCCGAATTGCATGCGAACTTCACTAGACAGATAGCGACCATCTGTTTCTTCTTGCTAGAAAATTTGCTAGAAAATCATACATCCTCGAGTCATTTGTGACTTTGTCTGTGTATTGCACACCACGCGCCCTATTTGACGACTTGCATAAATAGAATTTGTGTTTCCTGTGTTTCCTGTGTTTTCACCCTTGTTTCCTTATCTCTTTAATTTGACTGGATATGCATTAGTTGATAGCACATATTTCTGCAGTGTGTCATGCTAGCAAAGCTTTTGGGGGGAGCTGCTAGTAAAGGTGTCGTCGATTACCGCGCATAGTGTGTAGACTCACATATCAAGTTGCACCTGACTCAAGGACGCTTACAAGGAAAGTAAGCTTCAAAATGTGATATAAACGGAACAACTGTAATTTCGTACTCTTCAACATTAGCGATTAAGAGCATTGTTCTAAAAATTATTCTCCGTTTTATCGAAATCTTGTGTCTTCTTTTTATCATAAAAAATCATTATGATTAAACCAGCTTACTTTAGCGCAGTATAGGTTTGTTATTGATTTCATAACGGGCCTATTATAAAACCTATAGAAAATTCGGAATGATACTCATTTCGCAAATCTACTACGCAAGAGGGTGTCATTCGCTAAATTTTCTAACTTTACCCCTTTCGTGTCACTTAATTTAATCCTTTCATACTGTCAGTCATCTTCACTACTTCCAACTTCATGTATGCCATTATTTTTGCTCATACACATTTTTGTACCCTATATTGGATCAATACCGCTTTGCTGCTTCAGGATTTTTTCCCGAATCGCATCTGGTATTACACTTCTAAACATGCGTGGAGGTTAACTACTGCATTACCGACATTGTTCGACAAGCTTGAGCTTGATCTTCAAAAATGTTCAGCTCTATTAGAATGTCTCATTATGCGAAGTGAGCTTTGTTGTTTGATAAGATAACATGATACTAGCATGCTTCCTGGATAATGAATATTTAACGTAATCTTTAATAGCGACATTTTTCGCAAAGCAAGTCAGATTTTCTAGGACCAACACTCAAAGCTGCGTTTGCTGCTGCGGCGCAGCTTTAATGCCTTTGAATCGCGGAAAGATGACGCGATTCAAAGGCCGTGCCGTAAGCATCCACAAAATTCGTGAATGGTATATACAATAATAAAATGAAACCCGTATTCGTTCCTCCAGTCATTACAACAACTTGGCAGGCATCATCTCGGTTATTCCAACTTTCATACGGCGACCCAACGTTGGAACGTAATGCAGAGCGAAAAATGAATTTTTGGTTGTGAGATCTCCAGCTTGCGTAGTTTCGAGTACTCTATTTCGGTAAAGAAAGAACTGAAATTGCAACGCCATTTTCATAGCCGCACTTTTTCTTTGGTTTATTTGATTTTGTATGATCCTATTTCCTAGATTTTGCTTTATATTATAAAATTGTTAATAAGAACTAATACACTTAGTGACTAAGGCTTTCTCTTGGAAAAAATTGAGGTTGCAGAGGTTCTTATCCGCAATAAAGTGTCCACCCTCAATGTGCAGACGTCCATGCAAAATTATGATTGGTAAAAAAGTTTAAGGGGGGTATAATCACCGTTTTATGACTCGGTCGCCATAGCACTGGGTGTGGATCACATGCATCCATCATTTCATACATTTTCGTGACCGTCTGACCCAATGTTCGTAGGGTTGATTCATAATAGATGCAATTTTCTTAGCTCTTTTCGTGCGCTTTATAAGATCATCTGCAACATTTCTTCTAGTTTTTTACACAAGCCTTGGTTTTCCTAATTCTTTGTTTGTTGAGGTACAAAGCTTTTAGATAAGAGACTAAATCTCAAAAATCTTCGAAAAACCATTTTTGCATTGAATTTATGAAAAATAACCGATTCATTCCCTGAATGTGCGTACCGATTGACAAATTTCATACAGAGTACTCCTCTAAGCAGAATTTTCGAAAACTGAATTGAAAAAATGAACTAAAAAATTTTGTCGTAAACTTGTACTTGATGCTCTTCTGTGCGGTGCAGAAATATCAAGCAGAAAAATTGCAAAGCTTGCAATATAAAGCGAGAAAAGAAGCAGTGCCTTTATGCTATAGAAATGGTAGTTTACCCAGCAAAAATTGAAGAATATCAGAAAAGGCGAATTTGCGGTACTAAAAAATTGAAAACATTCAACATTTTTGCAACATTTTCTCTCATAGGATACATAAAATCTGAGCTTGGCACCAGTGCCCGAATATTAGCTTAGACAACGCGAAGAGCGTGCGCTATCCTACTATATTTGAGGTTATGTATGGTCTCTCAAACTAGTAGCTCCAAAAATAATATAACAACCTTCAGCGAAAGGACTTTCTTGTCATGATCACTGTTATATAATACAAAAGGATAGGTTGTTTAGCCAAAAGTTTGCTTTCTACAATGGTCTACTGCGTTCAGAAAAAACGTTACGGAAACTGTTATCTTGAGCCGCGAAATTCGAAATTCAATCTAAGTCACTTTCATGGAAAAAATAATGTGGAGATAATGTAGACAATTTCAATTACGTAGAGGGGCTGAATTTTCAGAGGAATTCCTTGCTTCGCGCTTAAATTCTGGCTAAAAAAAGTAAGTACGATGAAATTGGGTTCAAATGCATTCGAAGCTCCATAACTGTCTGACAGATGAGACTGGAAGCCCGCTTCAACCACCACTGTATAGAGCATGACAAGAGGTCCTCAATGAACGCTGTGTCTGCCCCAAAGAAGAAATTTTGATGGAAAAAAGTTGTTCCGAAACAAGGGTTAAAAAAACGCGTATTTTTTTGCACCAACCTAATATAAATTAACCTAATGTACCCAATTTACCTAATATAAACTTACCTAATGTATAGCCCCATATGTAAATGTAGACAGAAAGGAGAACGATTCTTACAGTCGTACATAATTACAGACGGATTTGAATAACGGAGAAGATCATCTTTTGTAGGATTTGGTTAAGTGAGTGCTCATTCAGAATTGTACAGCTATCACAAATTCGCCAGATAGGAGTATTGTGACCTGTCAATTTGACAAACAGATTTTGTGTTCTAGAACAACGCGATTGGAGAAAGCTCCAAGTTTTTTCGCTCCGCACTTGTACATAGCTCAACAAGCACTCCAGACACTCTTCAAAAATTTGTCATCTGCGACGATACTTCACAGAAGCCAGCACACTAAATGCTTACCACTCTCCAGACATTTAGTTCCGGCTAAATGTTGGTGTTTGTCAATGCTTATAATTACGCGAATGTCGTTGGAATCTCAAAAGCATTGTGTTCTTGTTCATTACGAATTCTAATTTGCTGCAGAATTTAAGCATATGCATCTTGTTTGGTTCAAATTTTAGAGAAGTGTGTTGCAACTTTCCTAAAAGTTGAAAAATTCAAAGCTGAAAAATTTATCAACATTACCATTGCGCAATGGAAATATACTTTGGATCAAAGTCTGTGTTTTCAAAGAACTTTGGCTGATCTGATTTGCTTTTTACATTATAATCTACAGTATTAACTTTGGGTTGCTTATAATTTATTTCCAATTGCTTTTCATAAGATTTTCTTGACCTTATGTACTATAAGCATTTTCTTGACCTTCTCCAGTCTTCTATTAGAAAATCTTTCTTAAGCAGATTGAACTGAAGAGGAGGATTAGAAAACGATGAGATGTTTATAAATTAGTGTTCTTTTATGTCCTTCGAAGCAAATTCCAATATAAATCGTTCTGAGCTTCCATTTTGCTTAAGACATATACTATGGCTGGTCCACTTGATTCTTTTTAGTTGAACTATTAGGCTGTCCGGAAATTAATGCAGGTTTTGAATTTCAATCGCAATAACTAACAAACTTCTTATTTCTGGATAGGTTGCAAGGAACCATTCGATAGAGCAAAGCAAGCTCTACAAGACGGCAATCTTGCTTTAGCCACAGCTCTCATCCACCACGAGTTTCGAGACAAAAACTAAAAAGATTCAACTGCCCGAAAAATTGAGAAAAATCGTAACTCAGCTCATAAAAATCCTACAAAAATTCTAACTTGCTCACGTAAACACTATTCCCATAAGACATCTATATAAGCCGTTGCTGTCTTTTTTCACCCCTTAGAATTCAGGAAACCGGAAATTTTCGTGCATTTGTCAAAGTGGTGCTGTGCCGTTTCCACATGTGTAGTTGTATACTACAAGCTGTAGAAGCACAAACGTAAATTTTCAGCCCTCTACAAGATTTCGTTCTCGAGAAATATTGAATAAAGTTTTCCCTAGTCATGTGGTCCAAGTTAAAATTCAAATTTGTCGAGAACCAAAGCTTGTAGAGAGCTGGAAATTTATGTTTGTACTTCTACAGGTTTGTAGTATATAACTACACATGTGGAGACGGCACAGCACCACTTTGACAAATGCACGAAAATTTTCGTTTCCCTAAGTTCTAAGGGGTGAAAAAAAACAGCAACGGCTTATATAGATGTCTTATGGGAATAGTGTTTACGTAAGCAAGTTAGAATTTTTGTAGGATTCTTATGAGCTGAGTTACGATTTT